TCACACACTTTTTAAACCAGGATCTTCCCTTCAAATATGAATCAACCACCACTGACCAACGTGCCCTGACTTTTTAATTTTTTATTGGGGGGGGGGGGGGGCCGGCGCGTTTGCCCAGACCTGGGGATTGAGCTCAGGCCCTTGCGCTTGCCAGGGAAGTGCTTATTCCACTGAGCCATCTCCCCAGCCCGTGCCCTGGCTTTTTAGCTAATTTGTTAATCATGTTTTTTTCTGTTATGATACATACATACATAGAAGGAATTGGGCTCTAGTGCCTTTGCATAGAAAGCAGGACTCGTTGAAAACAGCGAAATGATTTCAGTTAGTTAAAAATCCCAGGGCTGGTGAGATGGCTCAGTGGTCTAAAGCACCTACTTAGAACAAGCTTAGCAAAGAACAGGGACCGCGGTTCGATCCCCCAGCACCACATGCCAGCCAGCCCCGCCCCCTGGTGGGCTGAGCTGGCCACACACACAATAAATAAATAAATAAATAAATAAATAAATAAATAAAAATTTAAAAAAAAATCCATTCCTTAATGAAAATCAGGGCGGTGCCCCAGGAAACCTGAGCAATGCCAGCAGGGCCACTGCCCCACCTGGGAATTCCAGCCTGTGCTGCGCAATCATGAGACCACCGTAAGAAACACAGAGACCTGAGATGGAAGTTATACCGAATGTGTGCGCCTGCAAGTGAAGAGAAGAAGGTAAGGAAGCAGGAATGCAATTTTTTATTCCCTCTATCAATTCAATTACAAGCTGCAACAAAGCCCAGAAACAGGTTCACATTAATATATAATTTACTGCCCCCTTTTACCCAATGAACAATATCGTTTTCTCTTTTAAAAGAAACTGCTGCTTTAAAAAAAAGAAAAAAAAAAAGAAAAAAAAAATCCTCTTACAAATCCTCGTTTTTGGAATCCTATCATTTTGGAAGGTTCCAAAATTGCTTCTATTTATCTAAGTGGTGGTTAAACACACATGGGAGCGCTCATTCAGCGAGCCTGGGTCTGTGCCCTGGCTCGGGCAGTGCCTAGCGGCAGAGACAAACTGCTAACCTACTCCTCCTGGTGTATAGTTTCCTCATCTACCAAAGCTGGTTCTGACAATCAGACACATCCTGGAACACTACCTGGCACACGGTGACACAACACAAGCTAGCTAGAGAACTCCCTGGATTACAATTCGGAAAAGTATCCCACTTCCCTTACATCTCTCAGAACTGTTCTGCTGGCCAAAGGCCTGGCTGATACCACACGACATTTATAGGATGTAAAAGAAATTCAAATACAGCTAATAGCTCCCTCCCCTCTCTCACTGTGTAATTATGTGTGCTCATTATTTGTGTACCATGTCATTATTTAAATGTCCCTAATTTCAGCCCCAGTGGGCCAAGGTCCCTTACAGAGTGGCCAAGGTCTTAACCTCTGCCAGTCCTCGGCAAAGCTTTTGTCGTTTTATTACAGTCAGAAAAAGTGGCCTTATCTGCAGCAGGAAGTGGGCAGGAGGCTCATGTTGCATAAAAAATCCTCACACACCCACCCCGTTAGCCCAGCAACCACAGGCAGGAGCAGTGGCTACAAGCCCTCCACAGACAATCCACCAGGCTGCCTGGGAGTCAGCTGCTGCACCTCTAGCAGGCCTAAAAATTTCATTCTTCATTACTTCAAAAGCTCAAAAGTAAGACTGCTGGCAAACATGGATTTTATGACAAAAAAGAGAAAACACACACACACAACAACAACAACAACAACAACAACAACAACAACCCTACCGTCTGGTGTCTGCACTGTTTTCCCAGACCTGCAGAACAGGCTGCCCGGCACAGCTGGCTCAGAAGGGAGTGACCCTGTTCGGTGCCATTAACCATAACCAGCACCCACTCCCCTTGCACAAATGGTGAGGGCAAAGGGCTGCTCGCTCATCACACCAGCATATCAATGATTTAGCAAAAATGATGTCAATCTGTTTTTAAATTAGATAAAAATTATATCAGGCCCATGTCATTATTAATGCAAAATATCATGGTTGGAAAATACTGAATTTTCATAGAGCCAATAGTACACAAACAGATTTAAACAAAAAAAACTGACTGGAGCAGAGAAAAAAGCAGATAAAGCACCTTGCTTTCAAGACTAGTTTCAGGTCAGGAAGATGGCTCAGTAGAATAAGTGCTTGCCTGGCAAGTGCAAAGGCCTAAGTTCATTCCCTGGTTCCGCCAAAAAAAAAAGTAATGATCAAGACTATAGTTTCAAAGATTTAGTGTCATTTCACATATTGTGTTTCCAACGACATACAGGACTCAAAGCTATCTGACTTGAGCTACAATTTCATTCAATTGTTGGGAAATACATACCCGTGTAACTTTAGCAAAGTCAGTACCGCACACAACATTCACAGGGCAATTTTATTCACCTTACACAAGAAAAGATCAGAGCTCCCAGAAGCATGTCAGGCCTTAAGGTTCCCACACGGAAAAGCATGAGGCGGGCGGAGGCAACAGCCACCCCACAGCACCATACCTCTAGCCCCGTTTTCCAAGTCAGACCCTGCCTCCAAGGACAGTTCTGTGCTGGCTCTGTATTAAACAATCTCCACACTTTGCCAGCAGAGGAATTTCTGTTTATCAATAAAAACTAGACCAGTGGAATCATTTCAACTTTTCAAAAGGAACCTCGAGGGGGTTCCTTTTGAGGAATTGTGGAGGACTAACTCAAAAATTTTAAACAGAAGCTATACACAGTACAGGACTTCATGACTGCCGGCCCCACTCCTCCAAGTAACCTTCCTTCTGGCTTCACATCACCATCGGGACACGGCTGTCCCAGGTCAGCACAGTGACAGCCTAGTAGAGAGCACCCATCAAAATTCAGCTGGCACATGTACACACATGGCCACAGAGAACACAGTTCACTACTGCCATTCATCCTGCGCCCAGACTTCCTGCCCAAAACAGCCTTGATGTGTCCCACTTCGTCAGGTCCTCATGGCTCATGCCCCACCCCAGCAGCCGGGAGAGTGTACCCTCAGAAGGAGCTGTACCCGGGCTGCCGCTCTGTCCGTTTCCCAGTAGCGCCCCAAGCAATGCACCATGTTTAACACGAAGCTGCCTTCAAGACTCTAAAATTTTGAAACAGATGATAGTTTTATTCAGAGCCTGCTACACATTAAAACAGATAAACTTGCAGACACCAAAATGAACCAGAAGATGTAATAGTCACACCCTTTCACAACCAAAAGTGAAGCTCAGTGGCGGTTATATCTCTGTTTAAAGGATAAGCCGGTCTTCATCAGCACAGAAAGCAAATCAACTACCCCTGACTGAAACTTCTTGCTGTAACAGTGCTGCAAGAATTACTTCAATTCTACAATCCCAAAGAGATGTCTCTCACAATTTTCTTAATTATTTCCCGCATGGTACTCTCAACCCCACCGCACCCCATGAAAGACAAAAGCTCAATCTGGCCAACCTGCTAGTAGTATGATTGCTTCTTAAGTGACTTAAATTTTTGCTCATAAATTTCATCTTTATGAAACCCTAAATAACTGGCTAACATTTTGTCCTAAAAAACTGGAAGAATGGATTGTTTTTTCACTGTCAGAGATTCCAGGAAGCACTTAAGGCACTGCCACTCCGGGAGAGCAGGGTGGATCACTTTTCACGAGGGAGAATGGTCCTACCCCTCCTCTAGCACTCAGTCGCGCTTACTGCCCCACCCCCAGACCCCAGAGGCCCAGACAGCATGGGGTGCGTGAAGCGAAGCAACCACAACTATCACACCCTGTGTTCCCTACATAAATGGAGAACTTACAGAGTTTACTGTGTGCAGGAAATGGATGGGGGCCCTATATGCAGCACAGGTACCAGGAGCAAAACAAGATATGAAGGCTGTCAATGGAACAACAACAGATTCCAAAAGCTACTTGTTCTTTATAAAAAAGTTGTTGCGATGCTACTGGCTCAGAGGAGTGCGGGAAAGCGGCGGAGGAGACATGGCTCATAACACACGACAAAGCCACTATCATACAGAAGGAAGAAAACCCAGCAGAGGAAGACTGGGTCTTTCTCACAAGTTGTACAACAGTGCAAGAACACTGCGCTTGTCTTAATAGGGTGAGACCACCAAAGTGAACAAATACCACAGTCACTGAAGCACTCTCAGAAAGCTCTGCAGACGCAGGCCAGCCAACAGCACAGCCTACCGGCACAAGTCCCAAAGAGACTCATCTTATACATCAAACGCTGAGGGAGACACTGGAGGTCGAAGCAAAACTGTCATTTTGCACCATGGAAACACACCCCAGGGGTGGTGATGCCAAGATCAGAGCTAATTCCGAGAGACAGAGACAGAGACAGAGACAGAGACAGAGAGAGAGAGAGAGAGAGAGAGA